GTATTGCAGTCAAAATTTAATACAAGGCTATAATAAAATCAAGACAATGTAGTACTGACATAGGGATAAAAATATAGATCAATGAAATAGAATAAAGAGGTAGGAAACAAGCCCTAACATTTATAGTCAATTGATTTTTTTTAGACAGAGTCTCACTTTGTCACCCCTGGTAGAGTGCCATGGCATCATAGCTCAGCCCTCAGACTTTTGGGCTCAGCCTCTTGAGTAGCTGGGACTGCAGTTGTCAGCCACAATGTCCAGCTATTTTTTAGAGGCAGGGTCTCACTCTTGCTCAGGTTGGTCTCGAAACCCTGAGCTCAGGCAATCCACCAGCCTCAGCCTCTTAGACTGTAGTCAAATGATTTTTGGTAAAACTGTCAAGACCATCACTAGGGAAAAAATAATCTTTTTTATTATTATTTTTATAATTATTTTTTATTAAATCATAACTTTGTACATTGATGCATTTATGGGGTTTAGGGTACTGCTTCGATATACAATGTGAAATGTTTACATTGAACCAAGTAACACAACCATCACAATTATACTCATTCTTAATAGTTTTGAAATGTACCATTGCATCATGCACATTAGGTGAAGTCCCCCCAAATACCCTCCCTTCTCCCATATCCCCTCTCCCCACCACTCTAACACCTCTTCCCTTCTACTTTATAGACTATAGTTATGTTTTGCCATTCGTATGATTGTGTAGGTGGTTATATATTGATTTCATAGTAGTATCAAGTACATTGGATGCTTTGGAAAAAATAATGTTTTAAACAAATAATACTGAGACCACTGAATAACCACAACAAACAGAATGAAGTTTGGACCTCTGCTTCACACCATATACAAAAATGGATCAAAGACTATTTAACTTCTACTTCAGTTTCAGTCCATATCTGTAATAGCCTATATATCTCCAAAGTTACCTCAAACCCAACACATTTAAAATAGAACTTATTGGGCAGGGTGCAGTGGCTCACACCTGTAATCCTAGCACTCTGAGAGGCCAAGGCAGATGGATTGCCTGAGCTCAGGAGTTCAAGACTAGCCTGAGAGAGACCAAGATCCCATCTCTAATAAAAATAGAAAAATAAACCAGGTGTTGTGGTGGGTGTCTGTAGTCCCTGCAACTTGGGAGGCTGGGGCAAGAGGATCACCTGACTTCAAGATACTGAGGTTGCTGTGAGCTATGACATCACAGCACTCAACCTAGGATGACAGAATGAGACTCTGTCTCAGAAAAATAAAATAAAATAATTAAATTAATTAATAAAATAAAATAATAAAAGGCTTGGCACCTGTAGTTCAGTAGTTAGGATGCTGGCCATGTACACCAGGACTGGTGGGTTCGAACATGGCCTGGGCCTGCTAAACAAAAAATAGCTGGGCATTGTGATGGGTGCCATAGTTCCATCTACTAGGGAGGCAGAGGCCAGAAGACCTCTTGAACCCAAGAGTTTGAGGTTTCTGTGAGCTATGACACCACATTACTCTACAGAGGGCAACAAAGCGAGACTGTCTCAACAAAAAAGAAATTTTTTTTTTTTGTTGAGACAGAGCCTCAAGCTGTCACCCTGGGTAGATCTTCTGCCTCAGCCTTCCAAGTAGCTGGGACCACAGGGGCCCGCCACAACACCCCGGCTATTTTTTTGGTTGCAGCTGTCATTGTTGTTTGGTGGGCCCGGGCTGGATTGGAACCCACCACCTTAGGTGTATGTGGCTGGCGCCTTAGCCACTTGAGCCACAGGTGCCGAGCCAAAAAGAAAAATTAATAAAATAAAATAACCACCCTGAACTAGTGCAAGACCCTGTTTCTAAAAAAACAGCTGGGCCTTGTGGTGGGTACCTGTAATCCCAGCTACTCCGGAGGCTGAGGCAAGAGAATCACTTTAGCCCAAGAATTTGAGGTTGCTGTGAGCTATGACACCACAGCACTCTACTGAGGGCGACAAAGTAAGACTCTGTCTCAAAAAATAAAAAAAAAATGGTAAGATGAACTAGAACTTATTGTCATCTTTGTCTCTTATCCCTAGAAACATTTCCTTTCAATGTTTTCTTTCAGTGATACCAGCATTTGGCTGAGACCAGTGATTCAAATCCATATTCCTAGCACTGTGGGAGGCTGAGGCAGGAGAATCACTTAACGCAAGGAGTTCAAGACCAGTCTGGGCAACATAGCCAGACTCCATGTCTAATTTTTTTTTTTTTAATTATCCAGGTATGATAGTGGGTGCCTGTGGTTCCAGATACTCAAGAGGCTGAGCCAGGAGGATCACTTAAGCCCTGGAGTCTGAGGTTGCTGTAAGCTATTATCACACCATGGTAACCCAGACAACAGAGACCCTGACTCAAAAAAAAAAAAAAAATAAGAGAATTCTCTGAGCCATTCCTACTATGTACTTTAGAGCCATTTTCAATTGATCTGTCTCTCATTTCCCACGTTAAATTAGCTACCAAGTTCTATTGAATTCTTCCTTTAGAATGTTTCTTACATCAATTTCTAATTTCTTTTTTTCTTTTCTTTTTCCTTTTTTTTTTTTTTTTTTTGAGATACAGTGTCACGTTGTCACCCTCAGTAGAGTGCCATGGTGTCTTTAGATCACAGCAACCACAAACTCTTGGGTTCAAGCGATTCTCTTTCCTCAGCTTCCCAAGTAGCTGGGACTACAGGTGCCTGCCACAATACCTGGCTATTTTTAGAGATGGGGTCTAGCTTTTGCTCTGACTGGTCTGGAACCAGTGAGCTCAGGCAATCCACCCACCTTGGCCTCAAGTGCCAGGAATACAGACATGAGCCACTGCACCCGAACCCACACCCTTCCATTTCCATTGTCACTATTTTAGTTCTAACTCTCACTACTTCTTTCTTACTCACGTAGCTCCCTTTAAACAAATCTCCTACCTATGTTTCCCACACTCAGATCTGTTCTAAACACTACTGGAATTTCAGTCTTATTAAAAACTACACTTTAATTATATCATATCTCAAAAAGTTTCAGTGTCTTCCCATTGCCAGCAGAATAAATTCTAAAATCTTTGGCCGGTAATGCAAACTCCTTAATATTCCAGACCATAAGATGTTAGTAAATGTTCCACATAATGTGGATTAAACAAAGTCACATAGTTTCTTTACTGTAAAACGTCCTTGGCTTGGCGCCTGTGGTTCAAGTGGCTAAGGCGCCAGCCACATACACCTAAGGTGGCGGGTTCAAATCTAGCCCGGACCCGCCAAACAATAATGATGGCTGCAACCAAAAAATAGCCGGGCATTATGACAGGCGCCTTGGTCCCAGCTACTTGGGAGGCTGAGGCAGGAGCCTCGTTTGAGCCCAGGAGTTGGAGGTTGCTGTAAGCTGGGAAGCCACGGCACTCTACCCAGGGGGATAGCTTGAGGCTCTGTCTCAAAAAAAAAAAAAGTCCTTAAATTAACTAAAGTTAATTAACACTGAGTGGGCTCTAGATATAACTCATCATTATAACACTCCAAAAGGGTGAGATACAAAATGTAGTTGACTAAATAACTCTATTACATAGACCATCTGTTAACATTTCTCGTGACACTAGTGTTCTGAGGAAGAGCCTTGAGGAAAGGCTTAGGAAGCCCCAGCCTACACTTCTAGTTTTATTTCCCATTAATTCTTCCACATAAATCATCTGCTTAGACCGAACAAAGTCTCCCTGAGATGCACTTGCTCTCAAGTACAAACCGAGTCTCTTTTCTGATCTGCCTATGTGGTATGTACTTTTTCTCTGAACATTTATATTTTTGTATTTTATTGAGATTTAATTCATGTATCATAAAACTCACCTTTTTAAGGTAGATAGTTTGATGGTTTTTAGTATATTCACAAGATTCTGCAACCATCACCATTATCTAATTCCAGAACATTTTCAATTCATTCCCAAACAGAATTCCATATCCATTAGCAGCCACTTCCTATTCCTCCCTCTCCCAACTCCCGGCAGCTACTAATCTACTTCCTGTCTCTATGGATTTGACTATTCTGAACATTTCATATAATCTGTATATCTATTACCTACTCATCTACCCGAAGATCATGTTTGTTCATTTTTTTTAATTATTCAGTTAAAATTCATACACTGTATCAAACACCGTGCCAGGCTATGAATGTACAAAGGTGAATGACATTTTGCCTTCACAGAGCTCCCTGACTAGTGCAGGAGACAGACAGTATAGTGTTAGAAGTGCTAGTATGGCCCTGTGAACAAAGTGCCAGAGGGATAAAGAGATTTGAGCAATAAATTGTGGAAAATCCGTGAAATTCTCACTGGGGAAGTAGCATTTGACTGGGTATTGATTCATTTGTTCATTGTTTTAATTCATCCATTCAGCAAATATCCATTGTGCTTTTATTATGTGCCAAGCACAGTGCTGGACTTTGAGAACACAAAAATGAATAAGAAAAACTCCCCATACTTCAAGGAACTCAACAGTCAGGAGGAGACAAATACATACCATAATCTTGCAAAAGAGTATGACATAAATTATATTAGACGAATGTAAATCTTGCTATGGGAACAGAGAGGAATAACTAATTCTACTTGTGAATTTGAATAAAAAATAGAAATTTTCCAAGGAGTTTGAGGTTGCTGTGAGCCAGGTTGAGGCCACGGCACTCTAGCCTGGCTGACAGAGTAAGACTCTATCTCAAAAAAAAAAAAAAAAGATATAGGCTTTTCTTCTGCATCAGGGAGACCATGACTCTCTCTCTCATTCTGTCCTTAGTTGAAGAGAGCCTCATTGCTTTTTCACTATATGTCTCTTCATGAGATCTTGCTGTGTGTGGAACATTCAACAGCTGACGAATCTTCAAGGTGCTTTCCTACTACTACTCTTCAGTAGCGTGGGCCTTCCTCAGTGCAGAGCACCTATTATTTGTTTAATAATAATGGAACACAGCATAGATACACACAGTGCTACTATGAGCTATAATAGTAATAACTGCAAAGCACTCATTGTTTTTGGATTTGAGGAAGGCTACCCAAAGCCAGAGATTCTCTGGATGATGATCAAGTCCTGGAATACTGGAATATTTATGTACAGCAGGAAAAAGTATGCATCTGCTGAAAAATGGTGTGACTTGGCCTTGCATTTCCTTGATCACCTTGGCTCCCTCAAGAGAACCTATGACACTCAGGTGAGGAAAAACAGGACCAGGGATAGACAGCATGACCTAGGGGACAGATAGGTTATAAGCTGGGCTCTCCCTAAGAACGCAACCCAACCCTCCATGGCTAGAAAAGGATCTTAATCGTTTTTCCATATAACTTCAAGAGTTAGGGGATGATAAACAGTAATTTCTTAGAGTGAAAACCAAGAAGGAAGGAGAACAGGGGAAAACATAGGGATAACAAGTGGAATCTAATTAAAATGAATGTCAATACTGAGCTCTGGGAATATGCATCACAGTCTAGTGCTTTATGGGAAAGGACTGGCCTCTGCTCAGTTTAAAAAGACATTTTCTGTCCTCCTTAGCAAAGTATCTCAAGAATGGAAGAAAAAGTATCCAAAGTACTCAACACTATTATGAAACTAATTGTTAGCTATCTTAGGAAAGCTACAATCCAAATGGAGCCCTAGACTATGGGAGGGGGGAGGGGGGGAGGGAGGATAGGTGAAGAGAATGATATTGTGGGGACCACACCTATAATTTATCCTATTAGGGTACATGTGAATTTGTCTAAAGGTTGAATATAAATGTCTTAACACAACAATTATGAGAAAGACATGATGGCTATGTTAGCCAGTTGGATGAGAGTTTTCCAAACTGCATATGGAAGCAACACACTGTATCCTATGATAGAATTTATGTACACAATTATGATCTAATAAAAAATAAATTTAAAAAAATAATAAAATTCCTTCCATTAAAAATTTAAAAAATAATAAAAATAAAAAGACATTTTCTCTAAGAACTATCCATAGTTGCAGACTTCTGGGCCATTAGATAACTAGGAAATATTTGGTGGAAAAAAATCTTTGTTACCAAATGAAAACAAAAGATCTTTTATGTTTTAAGTACCTTTTCCCTTATAATATGGGATTCCTGGCTCAATGCTCGTAGCTCAGTGAGTAGGGCTCCAGCCACATACATGGAGGCTGGCTGGTTCAAGCCCAGCCCAGCCCTGCTAAACAACAACAACAACTGCAACCAAAAAATAGCTGGGCATTAGGGTGAGCGCATGTAGTCCCAGCTACTCGGGAGGCTGAGGCAAGAGAATCGCTTAAGCCAAGGAGTTTGAGGTTGCTGCAAGCTGTGATGCCACAGGACTCTACTGAGGGCAACATAGTGAGACTCTGTCTCAAAATAATAATAATAATAATAATAATAATGATAATGTATTCTTCTTTCTAAAGAGAGGACTATGTTTTCTCCCCAATCTGAAATCACTCAGATCAGAAAATAAGGGTTAGAATTTCATGCCATCACCATGAATCTGGGAAGTTTTCCCACATTTCATTTTCCTATCAATAAGTCTATTTGCTATTCGCTTTCCCAGATGAATACTCCCTATGGTGAGCTCATGGAAGCAGTAGATAAGAACAAGGACTCACTTTTCTGTGAAGAGTGAGAACTATTGGAGCAAGGCAGATGAGCAGGCAAACTCATAGCAACTTGAAGATGTATTGTCCTGAGATGCTGACTATTTAAATTTTGCCAGACTTTCTCTTTAGCTTTTGTTTCTGTTTTCTTAGGCTCTATGTTCATGTTGTTGAATGAAATTTTCTAAAATAAAAGCATGTTGACTTTTACCTCAGTGACTGGCTCATTTCTTGGGGACATTGAAATAGCCCATGTGAGAGCAAGATGGTTTATGCTCCTTGTGAACAAAAGGGAATGTTCAGCTCAGTCCAAGTTGTATTTTATTCCTGAAGTGCTCAAATTCCTAATACCTGAAGATAACAGAGAATCATATTCTTCATTGAAAGGACCTTAGTGGTCACTGGGCCCAGCATTTGTCTGATTAATGAAATCTCTCTCTGACATCCTTTAGAATCAATTGCCCAGTCTCTATTGGGACATAATCTATCACAAGGAACTCCAAGGTAGCTTTGACCACTTAGGGCGGCACCTGTGGATCAAAGGAGTAGGGTGCCAGCCCCATATGCTGGAGGTGATGGGTTCAAACCCAGCCCACGGCCAAAAACTGCAAAAAAAATAAAAGCTCTTCATATAGAACATAAATCAGGCAGTCTATAAACAAGTCTGCTTCTCTGTCCCAGACACCTTTTGGAGAACTGAAAACAGAGTCAGGCCCCTCCCTGTCCTTATAGGCTTTTCCCCCTTCAGGTTAAACACTCTCAGACCCCTTAGCTGTTCCTTATGTGATCTGGTCACTTCACCTTCCAAAAGCCAAATCTTGTGTTCCAGTGAGGTCTGACCCATGCAGAATGGAGTAGCCTGATTCTGGCTAGACTGGCATTAGTGTACCAACTGTAAGATTTTGTTGCCTTTTTCACCCAGTGGTGTTGGGTGGTGATTTCGCACAGGGAGAGAAGGACAGCTTGGCCACAGGTGCAAGCTTGCTCCTGGAATTTATGAAAGCAAGAAACGACTACTACTCGGGGTGGCAGTAGCAAAATGTCTTTATTCATGACTACCTTTTATAGTAAACTAATCACATACGCTACATTGATCAATAATCTTAACTTTCTCTATTCTTATCTTAAACTATAGAAAAGACAAAAAGTCCTGGAAAGTAAGATAACCATCTTAAGACTAGCCTCAAGCTATTCCTCTAAAGATCCGAAACAACCCTGCATTATCTGACTTCCATTGTCAAAGTTAAAGATTAGGACAAACAGGGAAGTAAAACTTTTTCTTCCATGTACTCAGTTAAGTTTCTGAGAAACAGGCTCAATTTCTGTATTCTTGCAGTTTGGAACCCCCCCTCGCCCGCTTTTACGATGGAGTTTTTCTCACTCAAATCAACCTTTGAGGCATGTCTCCTGCACAGATAGGCCATCAACCCTTATCTGGCAGGCTGACTGCATGGTCAGAGTTCCAAACAGGAGGTTGTTATCACCTTACCTGCAGGCCCTGCCATGCTCTCCCAGGCAGCTAGGCTTCTACAAAATGCACAATACTCTCGAGTCTTTTTGCTCAGTTTCCTAAATTAAAAGAGCACATTTCATTTAACTAGTTTTTTGTTGTTTTGTTTTGTTTTGTTTTTTTTGAGACAGAGCCTCAAGCTTTCCCCCTGGGTAGAGTGCTGTGGCATCATAGCTCACAGCAACCTCCAACTCCTGCGCTCAAGCGAGTCTACTGCCTCAACCTCCCAAGTAGCTGGGACCACAGGCACCTGCCACAACGCCTGGCTATTTTTTTTGGTTGCAGCCGTCATTGTTGTTTGGCGGGCCCAGGCTGGATTCGAACCCACCACCTTAGGTGTATGTGGCTGGTGCCTTAGCCTCTTGAGCCACAGGTGCCGAGTCCATTTAGCTAGTTTTATGTGGGCATTCCTCCCACACAGTGGGTTTGTATTAACAATTTTAAACTTTTGATTTTTTTTTTTTTGAGACAAGAGTCTTACTTTGGCCCCCTGACTAAAGTGTTATGGTACTATAGGTCACACCAACTCAAGTTTTTGGGCTCAAGTGATCCACTGTTGCCCCTGGTAGAGTGCTGTGAAGTCACAGCTCACAGCAACCTCAAACTTTTGGGCTTAAGCAATTCTCTTGCCTCAGCCTCCTAAGTAGCTGGGACTGCAGGTGCCTGCCACAATGCCTGTCTATTTTTCTGTCACAGTTATGATTGTTGCTTTAGCTGGCCTGGGCCAGCAAATCTGCCAGCCTTGGTGTATGTGGCTGGCACCTTACCCACTGAACTATGGGCACCACCTCAAGTGATCCTCTTGCCTCAGTTTTACTACTTTTGGTAGAGATGAGGTCTTGCTATTGCTCAGGCTGGTCTTGAACTCCTGAGCTCAAAGGATCCACTCACCTGGGCCTTCCAGAGTGCTAGGATTACAGTTATGCTACACCTGGCTAAACCTTTTTTTTGGAGATAGAATTTCGCTTTGTCACCCTTGGTAGAGGGCCCTGGCAACATAGCTTGCAGCAACCTCAAACTCTTGGGCTCAAGTGATTCTCTTGCCTCAGTCTCCTGAGTAGCCTATTATTCACTCTTTTTGTTTTTTTTCTGCACCAATAGAGATTAATTTGCAGACATCCTGTCCTCTTTCCCCTTAATGCTTCAGTGCATATTTCATAAAAACAAGGATACTCTTCTACATAACCATAGTAAAACCATCAGAATTAGGAAATTAACAATATGATTCTACCCCATTCTAATTTCACTGATTGTCCTAGTAAAGTCCTTCATAAATTCAGGATCATAAGTTGTATTTAGTTATCAGTTGCCCTTCATCTCCTACAAACTGAAATGGTTCCTCAGTCTGTTTTTATCATTCATGACCTGGACATTTTGAAGAGTACAAGCTAATTACTTTGAGCATGAACCTCAGTTTAGGTGACTGTGATGTTCCCTGATGATTAGATTTAGTCTATGTATTTGTAGAAGGCATACCACAAAAGTGATATGTTCTTGGTGCATCATACCAGTTAGCACACAATGTCAATATGCCCTATTATGCTTACAGTTAAGATGGTGTCTGCCAGTTTTCTTCAAAATAAAGTTAATTGATAAATCTTTTGTAGTTAGTAATTAAGTAATTATAAAGTAATTATAAAGTGGAAGATAAATTGAGACTAAGTAAGCATCCTGTTCCTCATTAAATTTTCACCACTGGTTTTAGCATCCATTGGCAATTCTTGCCTAAATCCATTTTTACTGTGATGGTTTCTAAATGTTAATTTTCCATTTCCATAATTCCTTCTTCAGTTATTAGTTGGCCCTAACTAATAAAATAAAACTAGATGTTTTTCTTTCTCCCTACTTATTTACTTATTCACTTTTTAAAATATATTTTAGTACAATCTAATGGTTCCTATCTTATTCAGTTTTTTATAACCCACTATTATCATTGTGAAAAACTGGCTCCTAACCCTTTTAACATGTCCACATTATTCTTTGAGCACTTCCTTACTTTGTGGCACAATAAGATTCTCCAGGCTCACATTCAATTTTCCCTGCCTCCCAGCCTAGAATCAGTCATTTCTCCAAGGAGCCCCTTGCTCTTTTTAATGGAGGATGGTAGTTATTGCCCAAAATCTGGATCCCAGAGGTATACTCATTATTACTGTGGCACTGTTGGTTTTAGGTCCTCTCAGTGGACAGAACTAGGACATAAATGCTTGTGTATGTGTATATATATGTACACAAACATACACATGAACATGTATATGTCAGAGCCCAGGACTGGCCAGGTCTTGGGCCCAGCTTAGGTAGGTTCTGGACGTGGACCACTAAGCTACCTTGCTGAGGAACAGTTTCTTGTAGGTGCTTGAGGGCTATCTACTTTAGCTGGGGGAGAGAGACAGAGTATCTTAGAGAGAGTAAAGGTCTTCTTAGAACAGATAGCTCTTAGTCTTTAGCAGAGCTTGGTAATCTTCAGCAGAGATGCCGTGCTGGCATTCTGCAGGCAGGAGAGGAGACAGAGTCAGAGTAAGTGGATCCATGATAGAATGCGCATGCCTCGCGACTGCCTTCTCCAGCCTAATATAAGGCTGACCTCGTGCTTCTCAACACCACAGATGTAGAGACTGCCAATTCACCAATGCTCTCATCTCGAGCTCACTCATGCTTGTTAGAACCAAATCTCTTTCCATGCCCTTTTCACCAAGGTGTTCCATTACAGGTATTTCCTATAACTCTCACTCCTCCTAGCCATAGGCTATACGGGCTGCTAAATGTATACACATACATATACATAGATAAAAAACCATGAGTTCATACTGGTACCTCCATTTTCAGTCCAACACTAGTGGGTTTATTCTCACCCTCCCCATTTTCCTATTTGTAACTCTTCCAGCATTGAGAAGCCTGGCTCTCATTAACCTCAAATATTTACTTATTTGCCCATTCCCTTTATATGATCCCTGTCTCCTAGCCATGCAGGCTGTCACCTGAGCCCAAACCCCAAAGTCCTGACTACGAGAGCTGCCCCTTTGATCCAAACCATAGCAAACACTCTGGCCAAGTCATCAGCCAGGCCGCCAGCCCAGAGAGCAAACAAGCTGAATTGCTAGCTGAGCCTCAACATAGCCCTGATCCTGACCCCAACCCCAGCCAAGAAGAAAAGGAGACCACATTAACATAAAACTACATTTCACTGTTGGCTCACTGGACTTAAATGTTTACTCTTCCCTGCCTTCAACTTAGTTTACTCCTACTTATCTTTTTCCTTAGAAAAACCTACCTTGACTAGGTCAGGTTCTCTTGCTATAAGTTATCTTAGGACTCACTTTTATTTTTCACATTTTTATTTTATTTTTTTTAAATGATAGCTGTGTACATTAATGCAGTCATGGGGTACAGTGTGGTGTTTTCATATACAATTTGAAATATTTTCATCAAAACAACACTTGTTTGTGGAATAATTTGATTATCTGTTTTCAACAATAGTCTTTACATTCAATGAGGGCAGACAGTGTGTTTCCCTCACCATTG